GTCTTTGAGTGTGTGACGTTAATGTGCAGTGGCACACACGGACCAGCAGGAGAGGCTGAGGGGCTCTAGAGGGCAGTGAGGCGGCCGGTAAGTGCCGCCTGGAGCTCGGAGGGGAGGAAGACCCCCAGCTCTGTGATGATGCCTCCTGTGATGAGCTGGTGAGGGGTAACGTCAAACGCTGGGTTCCACACCTCAATACCTGCCGTGAAAAGTTAGGAATGAGTGACAGTTAAAAAATAAGGTGGGCAATAAACTACATCAGTGTTTCCAAACCTTCTTCTTCTTCTTTTTTTTTTTAAAATCAGTTGTACCCTCACAGCTATGTCCGATCATCATCAACACCACCATTATTTTTATTATTATTATTATTTTTAGCTGACTGTTGATTCTGTTTGTTTAATTTATCCATTATGTTTTAGCTAATTCAGCCCCATACTATATAGCTGCAGTAAAGGAGGCAGCATTTTCAGGACCTGCAGTCCTGGGACCGCATTTCTAATACCCTTGTTCTTTGCAACAGCGCCACCTAATGAATTGGTGCGCAATTCATTGTGTTGCACAGCAACACAAAGGAGGTTAACCCTATCTACCCTATAACAGTTTAAACTGTTTATCCACTACTACATCCTTCAGCTCAGTATCCTCTTAACATGACACATTAAGGAGACCTTTTGAAGGTTTTTAATGTTGTCAATATTTTTTCTCAAGGTCAAATGTTCAATATGTTGAAATCACCCTACGTCTTCTAATGTTTTACTCCTTGAAACCTATGCCCTTGAATTTACAGGCAAGACAGTTTCCTTGACTTCAGATGGCTGAACAGATACAGTTACCATTTAAACTGCATTTGAAACATCCATCTCCCTGCGTTCTTGAACTATGAAGATAACCCATTCAGATCTCTAACAATGTTAGTTTATATCAAGTGACCAAAAAACTGCAATGCTTTTGTTCTTTGTAATGAAGGAACCTGTCTCCCAGTGCAACCGTGTGTCACGTTGATGTGATTCTAATAGTTTTTAGACAACAGTGAAGCTAAGGCACAGAGGAAAACCAGGTAATACGTGTTAGTAAAATCCATTCATTGCTGGTTTTGATCTTTTAATGGAATTTGTTGACTAGAAGAAAAATGTAAAATAATGGCAGCCTTCTAATTGCACTTTTAATTGTGGCTGTTTACAGGAAGGACCAGAGTGTGAGCGGAAAGTTAAATGGAGAGAGTAACATAATGTACAAGGCACACATCGTCCTCTCCAGGGGCCAGTGAGCTCATTAAATGAGTGTGCTTTAATTACTGTGATGTCACTGAGCACCTCTCTGCTCTGGCAACGTAATTAATAATTAAGAGTTCAAATGACTCAATTCTTCTCAAACAAACTCACCCTAAAACACACTTCCAATGTCCGCTCTTACATACTCAAACTTGACCCATATGTCTGCTCAGGACTGTCCCGTTGTCCCCCAAGGAAGACTTGCCCACAATTCATAGCATTCCAGTGGTAAAAATAATCACAGGAGACACCCTGATGGCCTATTGGTTTAAGGTGCTGACCACAAACTGCAACACCTCTAGCTTGGATGACCGTCTAATTAAGGCATAAAAACAACAAAAGGCAAATGATGGCAGGGGAAAGTGGAAAAAACATTGAAAGACCTCTCGTGAGGTTCACAAGCAGACAGCAGCAAGCACTTTGAGGTAGCGGAGCCTCACGCTTTACTGGCCACACAATGATGCCTCTGCACAGGTAATGTGATTTCACAAAGTGCTGTTCCATTCTTTATACAGCATTTGGAGCCCTTGCACCTTTTTTTACTTTGGCACGTGCACTACATGTGACCTCAATTAAAGTCTGTGAAGGTTCAGTGCTAAGGGTTTAGGCGCAGGGAACTGGGCCACCTCATCCATCTCTACAAGCCTGACGTTTTCCTGACGCTCTCAGTGCTCTACTAAACTTTTGTTTTTAAGAGTTTCTTGTCATTTTATACTTTCAGACCAACATTTGTGACTTTTCCCCTCGTACAAAAACATACCACACTGCTTACCCGGAGCGGCAATGGGGACTCCGTTTATACTGGTGAGTTCCTCAGGGGGGCGCACTTCGATGATGTCCCTGCCGCTCTCCAGGCTCAAGTCGCACGACGTGCTGGGCGCAGCCACATAGAAGGGAATCCCATGGTGCTTTGCGGCAATGGCCAGCTGGTACGTTCCCACCTTGTTGGCTGTGTCACCGTTGGCAACCACCCGGTCTGCGCCCACCACACAGCTGAGATGGAGAAGTAAAGAAAATGAGCGTAGAGTAAAGAGAGTAACGTTTGAACAGCAGGGGGAAAGAAGAAAAAAAAAAAAAAAAGAAAAGAGTCACAACACCAACACCTGTGATGGCATTTTCTATTGTGAGGGCTGCCATGCTGTCGGTAATAAGTGTAGCAGGATTCCCTCTGCTACCGCCTCGTACGCCGTCAGTCTGGATCCCTGTTGTACGGCCTCGTCTCTGTGCAGATACGCTTCAGCCTGCCCAGCGTGTGGAGGCTTCGCACCACACCTACACACAAACACGAGTCATAATTACAGTTACAGTGCCATAAATATTTTAACAATCACACTCTTCCTCATTCACATCACGGCTCCAGTCTTACCGAGCGCAGTCCCGTATCCAGCTGTGGCCAGCGAGCGTGTTGCAGTGTGAGGATGGTGACAGAGTCCCTTGGACGCCAGACAGGATGTGCTGGGCCATAGTTACGCTTCTTGTTGTCATTGACGTCACGCTCCAGCATATCTTCAATCCAAGCAATTACACTGTGGGGTGGGTGGGGACAAGAGGTGGGAATTGAGAAGAGGCTCCGT